CCCCCCCACACTTGGAGGCCGAGGTTTAAGCACAGCGGCACCGGCCTACATGTGCATACACCGGGAATCGAACCCGAGACCGCTCTGATACCATGTCAGAATCCCAACCACTAGACCATTGGGATAAAAGGGCTTGTTTCAGTAGCGGGTCAGTGCGCCCATAACCCCCCAGGCGAACGCGCCTGTAACCCTCTCTAGGATCAATCGGGCATCCACGGTGCAGATCTACTGACAATGGAAGGCAACCATGGCAGCAGAAGTCGCGGCGCTGAAGAACTGCAGAACGTGGAAGCTGGTTCCTCGATCATCAGCGAAGGGGAGAAAAATACTCAGCGGCAAATGGGTTTTTCGCATCAAAATGCTTACGGATGGTTCCATTGACAAATACAAAGCGAGATGGGTGGTGCGCTGCTTCGAACAAACTCACCTGGTGGACTTCAATCTCACCTACACGCCCGTCGGAAGACAAACCTCGGTGCGCATTCTCATATGCATCGTAGCCGTCAAGCAGCGTCCGCTCCATCAAATAAATGTTGGCAGTGCCTTCCTGTACGCACCTGTCAACGCCATCATCTTCGTCGAGCAGCCGCACGCCTTCAAAGAAAGCGACGGTGCCATTTGTCTTCTCCAGAAATCCCTCTATGGGATCAAACAAGCGCCTCATCTGTGGCAGCAATACCTGCACGCTGTTCTCACGGAGCGCGGATTCACTCAGTTGCCGCATGACCTCGGGATGTACCGGAACGAGTCGCGTGGCAAATTCATTCTCCCCGTCGCCTACGTCGACGACCTGCTCTAAACTGGCGACGACATGGAGCTGTTGGACCGGTCTAAGGCAGAAATCAAGGAGAAGCTTGAAGTGACGATCAACCACAACGTCACGCAGTTCTTGGGCCTCAAAATTACCTAGTCCGCCACCTCCATTCACCTCTCCGCTGCCAAATACGCGACACTCGCGAAGAAATTTGCCATCGCACTAACTAGCATCACCACCCTCTTCCGCACTCCTAATCATGAACCTGACACCACTCCACTCTCAGTAAAAAATCATTGGCTTTATCAGCAGCATCTGGGGTGCCTCCTGTTTGCCGCCGTCACGTGCCGGCCAGAGCTTTCCTACATTGAAAGCCAGCTCGCACAGTACCTGAAGCGACCTAAAGGGGAGAATCTATTGGATCTACGCCGCGCATTTCAATACTTCATCTCTGCCCCTGACGTCGGACTCACCTACGAAGCTAACCGAATCGCTGCCCTGCAGCTTCATGGCTACGTAGACGTAGACCACGCAAGAGACAATGACAACAGATGCTCTTGCACAGGATTAATTTTGTCAGAATCCCAACCACTAGACCATTGGGATAAAAGGGCTTGTTTGTGTAGCGGGTAAGTGCGCCCATAACCCCCCAGACCAACGTGCCTGTAACCTTTCCCTAGGATCAATCGGGGATCACCAGTGGACCTCTGACACCCCCCCGCACTGGGATGCCCGAAGTGCACACACCGGGATTCGAACCCGAGACCGTCGCTCTGATACCATGTCAGAATCCCAACCACTAGATCATTGGGATAAAAGGGCTTGTTTGTGTAGCGGGTAAGTGTGCCCATAACCCCCCAGACCAACGTGCATGTAACCCTTTCCTAGGATCAATCGGGGATCACCAGTGGACTTCTGACAAATTTTCCAACTCCAACCTACTGGACTCATCTCTTGGAACTCCCAGATGCAGGAGCGCATCGCCCTTTCGTCGGCGAAGTTGAATTCATCGCCGCTAGCGCAGCTGTTCGCGAAGGACTGTACCTGATGGAGCTCCTGCAGGAAGCGAAAGTAACCAAGGCGCAATCAAGCTCGCAAACAAGCCTGGCTTCGTAAACCGCAGGAAGCGCATCGCACTTCGTTACTTCTTTGTCAAGGACGAGATCGACAAAAGCAAGGTCAAACTCACGTACTTCCCAACTGGTGAGACGGCAGCCGATGTCCTGACGAAGAAACTGCCACGTCAGAAGTTCCAGCACTGCACCGACCTCTGCGAGATCTCGAAGAAACCCCACGTGGCTCACCTTCAGGAATGAAGGGGATTGTTGGAATAACCGAAATGTTGTAACATTCGTGAAGGTTCTCTACTAACGAGCTAGTCCATGAAGAAACAGCGCGTCAGCACTAGTACCACAATAGCTCATATAGAGCAGGCGGAAGATCGAGAGTCACCTGGAGGTCAATAATCGAAGACAGCCAACGGTCGTGACTCTTGACTGTTCAGTAATCGCACTTGGTAGTTACGCAATGCTATATGGTCACTGTCAAATAGAGCAATAGTCGTGGTTACTTTAGCAATGTAATTCAAATAATTAGGGAATGTACGCCCCAGGGTACATGGCTAGCTAGTTTTGCTTTTTATACCTTGTACTCCTATCCTTAAATCATCTTGTTCTCTTCTAACTATTATCAACAAGGTCACTACCAAGACTTCATTGTCTTCTTTCAACTTAGAAGACTTATCCTATCCACTTATATCCTTTGGTTATATTAGCAGCGGATTGCTCCAGATAGAAGTGCATTCGCTTTTAAAAACGAAATATAAAATAGTGAGCCCTGTCCCATCTTGAAAGTGTGATGCCGAAAACGGGCCGATCGAGCACTGTTCCAAACCAAACGAAAAGCACTGTGAGCAAATGTGATTGGCTGTCGCCAATCTTTGATTCTTCATGTTCCCGCCAATTTTATTTTCCCTGCGGATCTCCTCTGTCGCATGTTTCGTGCTACACCTGCACGACTCTTGCCAAGCGATGGTTTCGATCGCCAGGCCAAAGTTGGTTTCAAGCTGGAACTGGGTTTCATGCTAGCTGCTGCTCTCCGTCCCGTAATCAGTAGTTTCATTCCTAGCATATTATAGCTGACAACAATAGGTGTTTGTTGCCAAGGTAAGGAACTATCGACTTAGCGGGAATGCGTCGCTACTGTTACGTAGCGTTGTATCGTAATTTTATTCCCTAGCGTCGCCGATCGTTACCCTTCCGCAGGTGTTAGTTTCCTGTATCGCGCCTTCGCCATCTCCCATACCCTCCAGTCGTTCGTCCGCTGTCCGCTCCCCTCCCACCTTAGCGGGTCTCTCTCCTCCCCCCCCCGTCGCCATCTCTTTCTCCCCTCGCGCATGCATTCGTCGGCCCATCGCTCGCCGCGTCGTCTTTAGCTCTCTCCCCGAAACGCCCTTCCCCCCGCCCTTCCTCCCTCCCGTCCCCTTCGCGCTCTCCCTCTCGTCGCCTGCGCGCTCTCCCTCCCGTCCCCTTAGCGCTCTCTCTACCGTCGCCTTAGCACTCTCTCTACCGTCGCCTTAGCGCTCTCTCTACCGTCGCCTTAGCGCTCTCCATTTCGTCGCCTTCGCGCTTTCCCTCCCGTCGCCTTAGCACTCTCCATTTTGTCACCTCAGCGCTCTCCCTCCCGTCGCCTTAGCGCTCTCCCTCCCATCGCCTTCGTGCTCTCTCTCCCGTCGCCTTCGCTCTCTCCATCCCGTCGCCCTTGCAATCTACCCTCCCATCCGGTCGTTCCCTTCATCTCCTCTTGCTCACGTACTCCCCTAACGCCATCGCGCTCACGTTCCTTCCTCCCCTAACGCCATCGTGCTCATGTTCCTTCCTCCCCTAACGCCATCGCGCTCACGTTCCTTCCTCCCCTAACGCCATCGCGCTCACGTTCCTTCCTCCCCTCGCCATCGCGCTCACGTTCCTTCCTCCCCTCGCCATCGCAATCACGTTCCTTCCTCCCCTCGCCATCGCGCTCACGTTCCTCCTCTCCCCTCCCATCCCGTCGTTCGCCTCCTCTCCCCTCCCATCCCGTCGTTCGCCTCCTCTCTCCTCTTTCTTCCCGACGCTCCTCCGCTCTCCTCTTTCTTCCCGTCGCTCCTCCACTCTCCCCTCGCTGGCCGTTGTTCCTCTCTCTCTCCCCATCGATATCATTCTATCCGTTGGTGATACCTTGTCAAACTTATTTTTCCCCCTCGTTCTTCGACTCCCTATTTTTAACCTCTTCCAGCCTTTCTCGCAGCTCTGCCAGGTCGTCGGCCCACCTCCGCTCTCATCTCCTGCATATGTGTGTGCTCTGGATTCTGTGTTGTTGATGTGAGGTTTTGTGAACTTCGATGACTGCTCGAGTGAATACAGGCATTGAAACCTTGCGCCAAATTCGCACAGAAGTATGTGTGCATTGTGTGTGAGTTTCGCCAATCAGAATTGTGCACCTGTTCCAAATGTTCCCCGTTCACAGCGAGACTCGTCTGGAGTGATAAAATAAAAATGCACAGCCCTTCGTTGGTTGCGAAACTGTTCCAAAAAAACTTCAGTTTTCAAGTGGACCCAACTAGAAGGGGGGGGTCACTATTTTAGCTGTTGGCTTTAATATGTCTGCGCTTCTATCCGGGGCCATACGGTATGAGTTGTACTATCAGAGTGCCCGGACTAATTTAACGAGACTGTGATTACAAAGGCTGAGAATACAAAGAAAGTGCGAGCAAAAATAGGGCATTCCTTCGTAGCTAGGCAAGGACCTTGGGGTGGCCGAGGGTTGGAATTGTGGCAATTGGTGCGGGGGCGACTTGGGAGTGGTTTGGGCCGAACCCAACTCATGCGATGCCTTCGGGGCGTCCCCGCTAAGGGCAGACTACAGTAGTGAATTTCTACTTTCACTATACTAGGGTTTCATTTCGTTGGGACTGATTGTAATCATATGTTTGAATTGACTTTCGCGCACTCTTTCATGTTATAAGGTGGTCCTGTTAACGAAAAGTTGGCGACGCTATTGAACATTTCCCCGATCACCAAACTTGCTCTGAACGAACACGCACCATTTTCGTTGGCGATCATCCGATCCGATTGCATCCTGTGATCCTGCGATCCTGCGATCATACATCGTTCAGCACGCCGCCACGAGCTCACGTCGCGTCACCGTCGCTCGCTGCGCCCCATTCGCCCATTCACGCTGCGAGCCTCTGCCGACCTGCGGCATCGCCATGCCGCTCCTCTTCCTGCTCCTGCTCCTCCTCCCCCTCCCGCATTCCACCGCTGCCTCCCACGGCAGCGGCGGGGCAGCGGCGCGCCTGAACGGGCTGGCGGAGGATCCGCTGGCGGACGACGACTCGTTCGCGCGCCTGGCGGAGGCGGACAAGCGGCGGTGGGCGCAGGGCGCGGCGGAGGACGCGGGACTGGCGGCGAAGATGCGGCGGCTAGCGGAGGTGGAGGTGGTGACGCGCGTGCACGTGCGGCTCGTGGGGTTCGACGGCGACCGCGACGACAACAGCAACCTCCGCGTGCAGCCGGTGAGCTCCGCGCTACGAGCGCGGGGGGCAGTGAGCGCGGTGGGGGAGCAGATTGGCGTGCGAAAAGACGAGGGGGAGCGGGGGGGATGGCGGGCGGAAGGGCGGAGGCGATCTGGGAGAGAGGGATGAGAGGACGAGTGGCGTGGGGGGATGGCAGGAGGAGGCGGCGAGGGGAGTGTTGGGAATGGGGAGCGGAAAGGTGGCAGCCCATCCCTTTCGTCCTTCTCCCCAACTCACCCGTGTGTCCCCCTGCCGTGCTCACCACCCGTGTGTCCCCCTGCCGTGCTCACTCCACTCGTGCCACCCATGCCGCCATTCTCCCTCACTTGCGTCCTCCCTCTCCCCGCTGCTGCCATGCCATGCCATGGGGGGCATTGGTGTGTGGGGGGGCATTGATGTGTGGGGGATGATTGGTGTGTGTGGGGGATGATTGGTGTGTGGGGAGTGATTGATGTGTGGGGGGTGATTGGTGTGTGGGGAGTGATTGATGTGTGGGGGGTGATTGGTGTGTGGGGAGTGATTGATGTGCGGGGGGTGATTGGTGTGTGGGGAGTGATTGATGTGTGGGGGGTGATTGGTGTGTGGGGAGTGATTGATGTGTGGGGGGGTGATTGGTGTGTGGGGGGTGATTGGTGTGTGGGGGGTGATTGGTGTGTGGGGGGGTGATTGGTGTGTGGGGGGGTGTGAGTGAGGGTGTGTGTGTGTGCATGGGCAGGAGGAGATGACAAAGTTTCTCAAAACGCTCAAACCAGACAACGTCTTCCGAGCCATTCACGGCGAGGTATGGCATTCACGGCGAGGTATGGCATTCACGGCGAGGTATGGCATTCACGGCGAGGTATGGCATTCACGGCGAGGTATGGCATTCATGGCGAGGTATGGCATTCACGGCGAGGTATGGCATTCATGGCGAGGTATGGCATTCATGGCGAGGTATGGCATTCATGGCGAGGTATGGCATTCATGGCGAGGTATGGCATTCATGGCGAGGTATGGCATTCATGGCGAGGTATGGCATTCACGGGGAGGTATGGCATTCATGGTGAGGTAGGGCATTCATGGTGAGGTATGGCATTCACTGCCCCATCCATTGGCCCAGTTCTCCTCCACGCCATCTTCATCCACCTCTTAAACTTCTCTCTGCCTTTTTTGCCTCCGTCTCCGTTCGCATGCATCACATGTGCATGCATCACACTCTGCCACCTCTGCCCGTTCTGCCCCTCGCCATCCACCCTCTCCCCTCACTTCTAGAACCACATGCTCCTCCTGCCTTTCCACCGCCCCGCCACCCTCTCTGCCCGTCCATGCCCTGCGTCCTCTCGCTGTCCGCAGCCGCCCCTCGCACCCCTCGGCCTTCTCCTCCCCTCAGACCCCACCCTGCTGCCACCGTTTCTCCTTCCAGACGCCCGCCCCTCCCCACTCCTCTTCCCCCCACTCAGTCACACGCGCTGGCAGTGCGGCAGCGCGTGGCGTTCTCAGTGTCGCGTGCGCCCAGGCGCCTGGCCTCTGCCATCTCCGCTGACATCTTCCGCTTCGTTGGACGGGTGAGGCTCTCATGCACACACGCACTCGCACTCACACGCACTCACACTCACACGCACTCGCACTCACACGCTCTCGCACTCACACGCACTCGACCTCACACGCACTCGCACTCACACGCACTCGCACTCACACGCGCTCACACTCACACGCACTCACACTCACACGCACTCGCACTCACACGCACTCGCACTCACATGCACTTGCACTCACACGCACTCGCACGTACACGCACTCCGACTCACACGCACTAGCACTCACACGCACTCGCACTCACATGCGCTCACACTCACACGCACTCCCACTCACACGCACTCGCACTCACACGCACTCGCACTCACACGCACTCGCACTCACACGCACTCGCACTCACACGCACTCGCACTCACACGCACTCGCACTCACACGCACTCGCACTCACACGCACTCGCACTCACACGCACTCGCACTCACACGCACTCGCACTCACACGCACTCGCACGCACTCGCACTCGCACGCACTCGCACTCGCACGCACTCGCACTCACACGCACTCGCACTCACACGCACTCGCACTCACACGAACTCGCACTCACACGCACTCGCACTCACACGCTCTCACACTCACACGCAATCGCACTCACACGCACTCGCACTCACACGCACTCGCACTCACACGCACTCGCATGTACACGCACTCGCACGTACACGCACTCGCACTCACACGCAATCACACGCACTCGCACTCACACACACTCGCACTCATACGCACTCGCACTCACACGCACTCGCACTCACACGCACTCGCACTCACACACACTCGCACTCGCATGCACTTGCACTCACTCGCACTCGCACTCACACGCACTCGCACTCACACGCACTCACACGCACTCGCACTCACACGCTCTCACACTCACACACACTCGCACTCACACACACTCGCGCTCACACGCACTCGCACTCACACGCACTCGCATGTACACGCACTCGCACGTACACACACTCGCACTCACACGCAATCACACGCACTCGCACTCACACGCACTCGCACTCATACGCACTCGCACTCACACGCACTCGCACTCTCACGCGCTCTCACACTCAGACGCGCTCACACTCACACGCACTTGCACTCACACGCACTCGCACTCACACGCACTCGCATGTACACGCACTCGCACTCACATGCACTCACACTCATACGCACTCGCACTCACACGCACTCGTACGCACTCGCACTCACACGCGCTCGCACTCACACGCACTCACACTCACACGCACTCGCACTCACATGCACTCGCACTCACACGCACTCGCGCTCACACGCACTCGCACTCACACGCACTCGCACTCACACGCACTCGCACTCACACACACTCGCACTCACACGCACTCGCACGTACATGCACTCGCACTCACACGCACTCGCACTCACACGCACTCGTACTCACACACACTCGCACTCACATGCACTCGCACTCACACGCACTCGCACGCACTCGCACTCGCACGCACTCGCACTCGCACGCACTCGCACTCGCACGCACTCGCACGCACTCGCACTCACACGCACTCGCACTCACACGCACTCGCACTCACACGCACTCGACCTCACACGCACTCGCACTCACACGCACTCGCACTCACACGCGCTCACACTCACACGCACTCACACTCACACGCACTCGCACTCACACGCACTCGCACTCACACGCACTTGCACTCACACGCACTCGCACGTACACGCACTCCGACTCACACGCACTCGCACTCACACGCACTCGCACTCACACGCGCTCACACTCACACGCACTCGCACTCACACGCACTCGCACTCACACGCACTCGCACTCACACGCACTCGCACTCACACGCACTCGCACTGACACGCACTCGCACTGACACGCACTCGCACTCACACGCACTCGCACTCACACGCACTCGCACTCACATGCACTCGCACTCACACGCACTCGCACTCACACGCACTCGCACGCACTCGCACTCGCATGCACTCGCACTTGCACTCACACGCGCTCACACTCACACGCACTCACACTCACACGCACTCGCACTCACACGCACTCGCACTCACACGCACTTGCACTCACACGCACTCGCACGTACACGCACTCCGACTCACACGCACTCGCACTCACACGCACTCGCACTCTCACGCGCTCTCACACTCAGACGCGCTCACACTCACACGCACTTGCACTCACACGCACTCGCACTCACACGCACTCGCATGTACACGCACTCGCACTCACATGCACTCACACTCATACGCACTCGCACTCACACGCACTCGTACGCACTCGCACTCACACGCGTTCGCACTCACACGCACTCACACTCACACGCACTCGCACTCACATGCACTCGCACTCACACGCACTCGCGCTCACACGCACTCGCACTCACACGCACTCGCACTCACACGCACTCGCACTCACACGCACTCGCACTCACACGCACTCGCACGTACATGCACTCGCACTCACACGCACTCGCACTCACACGCACTCGTACCCACACACACTCGCACTCACATGCACTCGCACTCACACGCACTCGCACGCACTCGCACTCGCACGCACTCGCACTCGCACGCACTCGCACGCACTCGCACTCGCACGCACTCGCACTCACACGCACTCGCACTCACACGCACTCGACCTCACACGCACTCGCACTCACACGCACTCGCACTCACACGCGCTCACACTCACACGCACTCACACTCACACGCACTCGCACTCACACGCACTCGCACTCACACGCACTTGCACTCACACGCACTCGCACGTACACGCACTCCGACTCACACGCACTCGCACTCACACGCACTCGCACTCACACGCGCTCACACTCACACGCACTCGCACTCACACGCACTCGCACTCACACGCACTCGCACTCACACGCACTCGCACTCACACGCACTCGCACTGACACGCACTCGCACTGACACGCACTCGCACTCACACGCACTCGCACTCACACGCACTCGCACTCACATGCACTCGCACTCACACGCACTCGCACTCACACGCACTCGCACGCACTCGCACTCGCATGCACTCGCACTTGCACTCACACGCGCTCACACTCACATGCACTCACACTCACACGCACTCGCACTCACACGCACTCGCACTCACACGCACTTGCACTCACACGCACTCGCACGTACACGCACTCCGACTCACACGCACTCGCACTCACACGCACTCGCACTCACACGCGCTCACACTCACACGCACTCGCACTCACACGCACTCGCACTCACACGCACTCGCACTCACACGCACTCCCACTCACAAGCACTCGCACTGACATGCACTCGCACTCACACGCACTCGCACTCACACGCACTCGCACTCACACGCACTTGCACTCACACGCACTCGCACTCACACGCACTCGCACGCACTCGCACTCGCACGCACTCGCACTCGCACGCACTCGCACTCACACGCACTCGCACTCACACGCACTCGCACTCACACGCACTCGCACTCACACGCACTCGCACTCACATGCACTCGCACTCACACGCTCTCACACTCACACGCACTCGCACTCACACGCACTCGCACTCACACGCACTCGCACTCGCACGCACTCGCACTCACACGCACTCGCACTCACACGCACTCGCACTCACACGCTCTCACACTCACATGCACTCGCACTCACACGCACTCGCACTCACACGCACTCGCACTCACATGCACTCGCATGTACACGCACTCGCACGTACATGCACTCGCACTCACACGCAATCACACGCACTCGCACTCACACACACTCGCACTCATACACACTCGCACTCACACGCACTCGCACTCAAACGCACTCGCACTCACACGCACTCGCACTTGCATGCACTTGCACTCACATGCACTCGCACTCACACGCACTCGCACTCACACGCACTCACACGCACTCGCACTCACATGCTCTCACACTCACACACACTCGCACTCACACGCACTCGCGCTCACACGCACTCGCACTCACACGCACTCGCATGTACACACACTCGCACTCACACGCAATCACACGCACTCGCACGTACACACACTCCGACTCACACGCACTCGCACTCACTCGCACTCGCACTCACACGCACTCGCACTCACACGCACTCGCATGTACACGCACTCGCACGTACACGCACTCGCACTCACACGCAATCACATGCACTCGCACTCACACACACTCGCACTCATACGCACTCGCACTCACACGCACTCGCACTCACACGCACTCGCACTCACACACACTCGCACTCGCATGCACTTGCACTCACACGCACTCGCACTCACACGCACTCGCACTCACACGCACTCACACGCACTCGCACTCACACGCTCTCACACTCACATGCACTCGCACTCACACGCACTCGCACTCACACGCACTCGCACTCACATGCACTCGCATGTACACGCACTCGCACGTACATGCACTCGCACTCACACGCAATCACACGCACTCGCACTCACACACACTCGCACTCATACACACTCGCACTCACACGCACTCGCACTCAAACGCACTCGCACTCACACGCACTCGCACTTGCATGCACTTGCACTCACATGCACTCGCACTCACACGCACTCGCACTCACACGCACTCACACGCACTCGCACTCACACGCTCTCACACTCACACACACTCGCACTCACACGCACTCGCGCTCACACGCACTCGCACTCACACGCACTCGCATGTACACACACTCGCACTCACACGCAATCACACGCACTCGCACGTACACACACTCCGACTCACACGCACTCGCACTCACTCGCACTCGCACTCACACGCACTCGCACTCACACGCACTCGCATGTACACGCACTCGCACGTACACGCACTCGCACTCACACACAATCACATGCACTCGCACTCACACACACTCGCACTCACACGCACTCGCACTCACACGCACTCGCACTCACACGCACTCGCACTCACACA